TTCTTCACTGACTAGATAAATATTCCAACCAAATAATAGACTATTATCCAGTCTTAAAAATAAATGATCAAACCATGAAAAGACATGGAGGTATCTTTATACATACTACTATAAGAAAGATGCCAACCTGAAAAGTCACTGTATGTTTCCAGCTCTATGACATTCATGAGAAATTAACTATGGAGACAGCAAAAACAGCACTGGCTTCCAGGGACTGGTTTGGGGGACAAATCCTCTGTTATAGTATCACAATGATGGCTACATATCGTTTCACATTTGTTCAGACCTGCAGAGCGCACAAGAGTGCGTCCTAAGGTAAACTACGGACTTCGGGGGACTGTGGTGTGTGGGTTCCTCAGGTGCAGCGGCTGTGCTCCTCTGGTGGGGATTTTGATACTGCTGGGACCGTGCACTGGCCGTGGCAGGGGGTGCATAGCAAATCGCTGCAGGTGGGACCTTAAACTGCTCCAAAAATATAATGTCAATAATACTTTAAAAAAGAAAACATTTTACACCAAGGCTTCAATTAATCATCACGAAAATCTTTCTAAATAAGTAAAAAATAATGAACATTTTTCCAGTTGTTAATTTTGATAACACAATTTAACTAACGTTTAGAAATAAATCACATCGGCTATTGTAAGATACCACTTTATTATCTGGGTCTCTCTTTTCTATAAACATGTTTTGGAATTGAGTTTAGTTTTTTGCCCATATAATACAAGTTCTAATGTATTACAGAGGACTGTCAAATAAAAACCAGCTATATGACAGTATCTTCACCCAAAATAAAAACAATTGATTACAATTGATAACGTAGTACTTTCCAAAAGTGTAGTGAACAGGTAAGATGGGGATATAAGATAATTTTAAATAAAATGCAGTACACATTTATATATTAACAACCAGTAACTAATTTTTAAAAATATTATATTCTACTTATGGTAGCTAATAATGGTTTTCTATTTATTAATTTTACCACTTGATTTTAAGTGATGAATTTTTGGAAATATTAAACAAAAATAAATAACATAAAAATAAGCTATTTAATTATTCTGTTACATATTGTAATTTTTTAAACTTATACATAGAAGTTAACAGGCATTATAAAGATTTTACTTTACATGATCAATTTCTTATCATTCAACACTTCTTACATGGAACAGTTTAAAATTTAATTGTTAATTTTCTCATTTTAAACACAAAACTAGTTCAAATAAAGTTTACTTTAAAATTCATTCATAAGGTAACTAAGATGTTCATGTGTTTGGAACATAAGTGGCACACATTGAACAAACCCATTCACTAATATTTCTCTACAGCTCAAATCACTCACACTGAAAACAGATGCTACTTTCCACAGTGATGAGATAGTCACCTCTTTTAAATTTCATTTCTAAAATCAAGAGACTGCTGTTTTGAAACTCCCACATCACTAGTCGTGGCTACACTCATTCTACCTTTATTCAACCCACTAAAAATCACCCCTATGAACTACATAATGAGAGACTCAAAGGACAGACCATCAGAGGGAGGAAATCAGTGCATCTAACGGCAAAGGGTAAAAGAGTAAAAAAAAAACAATAACTGGAAATGAAGCTTTGGATGAAAGAACATATTCAATAATTGCACATATGATAAGAGGTTAATGTCCAAAATTTATAAAGGACTCATACGACTCCAAACAAAGAAAACCCAAACAATTCAATTAAAAAGTGGACAAAAGACCTAAATAGACACTTGTTCAAAGAGGACAAATGGATGGCCAAAGACATGTGAAAAGACAGATTCTCAACTACTCATAAGAGAAATTAGAAATAAAACCAAAAGCAACACCACCTCACACCTGTCAGAATGGCTGCTGTCAATAAATCAATAAACAACAAATATTGGCTAGGATGTGGAGAAAAGGAACCCTCATGTACAGTGTATGGGAATGCAGATTGGTGCAGCCACTATGGAAAACAGTACAAAGTTTCTGCCAAAATAATAAATAAATAAAAGTGTAATTGCTGTATGACACAGTAATTCCACTTCTGAGTATATATCCTAAGAAACCCAAAACACTAATTCATAAGAATGTGTGCACTCCTACATTCAATGCAGCATTATTTACAAGGGCCAGAGATGGAAGCAACTCAAGCGTCTATCATTAGACGAGTGGATAAAAAACCTCCGGTACTTGTACACAATGGGGTGCAATGGGATTTCATAAAAAGAATGAAACCTTACCACTGGTGATCGTATGGATGGATCTAGAAGGCATCATCATAAGTAAAATAAGTCAAAGTGGAATTTAAACAACAAAATAAACAAATAGATACAGAGCATAAACTAATGGTTACCAGAGGGGAGGGGGACAGGGGACTGGGTACAAAAGGTGAAGAAATTAGAAAGTACAAGTTGGTAGCTATAAAATGGTCACAGGAATGTATAGTACATCACGGGGACAACTAATGTTGCAATAATCACGTATGGTGCCAAATGGTTACCTGAAACATTGGAAGGGACCATTTTGTAAGGGATACAATTGTCCGACTGCCATGCCGTACACCTAAAACTAACGTGAAATGATATTGAAAGAAAATTCCAAAAACTGAAATAAGGAAATTAAGGTCTGGGTAAGAGGGGCCCACCAGACGTGGTGCATTTGAATGCATTACGGTTAACTAAATTCTTCTTCTAATCTGTTTCATGCCTTGAATAATGTCATTGCTTTCCGGCTCTTCGAGGTGCACAATGATGACAATACAATAGTAATATTAATAAATACCCAGTAGTGTAGTCCTAAATTAATATCTTTCATAATAACTAAGTGAAAAGACAGGCAATAAAAAGTGAAACCACATACCTAAATATGTCAAGTAATTTTAAATGTCGATGCTTATTCTTCACAACCTATTTTCTACTACCAATCTCAATTGAGCAAACATGTTTTCAGACCATGAAAAGATGATTCATACCCAACGTTTGCTCAACTGACATGATTCAAGCTCACTGTTTACTTCAAGGGCACAGAGGAAAGAGAACTTTCATGTTGATTCCATAGGAGCTCTATCTCTTGACAAGTCCCCACAGCAATCCATCTGCGTCTGCACTTTCAGTGAGTCAGTGCCCATTAGAAGTAGGACTGGGGATGCTATTTTATTTCACACAAGGCAGCACTTGTCAGGCACGAGCTCCTGTGACTCTAGAAAAAAAATCAGGCTTGTAGCTGCTATAGGTTTCTTTAAAATGTAGCTTTCCTTTATTTCTCACACCGGTGTTTTGACTCTAACCCTGTCCTTGTATTTGGAGGTTGGTAAATCTCACTTTAGCTTTACCAGGTGGTGTTTTTTACTTATAGACTCTCGATTTTTTTGTTGTCAAGTATTACATTAAATAATAATGTATTCATATTTAACCTCATCATGTTTTAATCAGTCCACAAAAATAGAACATATGATACATTTAAACAACTTAGTATGTTCTCCTAGATAACATGTTCCACGGCCCTCAAAATTTTCCTCATTTATCACACTATAGAAAGTTTTATTGCATATTTATTTATTTGTATTACTTTCTTTACAAGCTTCAATATTTCTCCCATAACTATTTATATTCTTGAGAGTACCTCTATTCACCAGGCATCTCCCACTTTCCCAAATATCAACAGCACAGGCAGGGGCTTTGAGAACAGGATTGATGAATGATAACAGGATAACTCACAACCACCACTAACATGGCAGGTTCTTGAGAACACCCCTGCGGACTCGGGCAGGAAAGAAGGTGGTCTGGAGTGTAACTGGAAGTGAATCCTGTTGTTACATGGACGAGCAAAACAATAACTTGAATCCAATGATTAAATTAGCCAGCGTTTGACCTGATTTGTAGAGACACTCAGTCATCGTCTTTGCCTTACCTTTCCCAAGACAAATGTTTACATTTATTTAGAATCCTCTCCTGATTGCAGATATATTTTAAGAAGGAAATTATTTGGACCACCTTTGGGGATGGTTTTAAATGAATACAAAGAACAAAGCTGGCATGGTCCCATCATTTCCTGGTATTTTCTTATATGCCATGAATGTATGGAGGCTGTGGCTTCATGGTTGATCCCTTTTTAAGAAATCATTTATTATCCCATGGCATAAAATTTTATAATATATGTGTCTACATATTTTCCCTATAACAGCAGAGTAGTGTTTTGCACTGAAAGCCTACTTAGAGTTTCTCTGCTGTTGCTCTTGTGTACCTTTTAGAGGTGAAAGATTCAGATTCACATTCTCTCCCTCTTCACCTCCCCCTGCGTGCAGGCATGTGGGATGTGCAAGGAGTTTAAACGTACAGGAGAAGCAACATCGAATGAGAACAAGCCTCAAAATATGTTTCAGGATCAAGGAATGAGTGAAGAAAAAGGGTTGAGGGTGTGGGGAAGGAGATTTTCTTACAGGTTTTTTACTCCATTGATTGTTTTGTTGCTCACTACCCAGCAGCCTTATGGCAATAGGAGCTCCTGGCAAAGTCTGGGGTTTGAGAAATTTCTTAATCCATCATACCCAGGGGCTGACTCTACCTGTGCTTCCATCAGCAGACACAATTGTCACAGTGAGAAAATGAACTGCAAGTTGCAAATGGTCAAACTATCTTTTTTAAACACTTTCCTTTAGTGAGAGGCAGGGGCTTTAGATGAATTGATCGTGTGTTAAATGTCTGTGATATTCCAGGGACTGTAAAATGTCATAACATCATTAATCATGAGAATCATCCTTTAAGGTTGCATCATGAAATCATTTTATAAATGAAAAGTTGACATTGGTTCACCTCAGTGGCATGCCCAGCGTCACACCTCGGCTAACCCCTGTCACAGGGATTTATGTCGGACGTTTTTGTTCAAATTCTCTGGTTTTCCCACTAACATTTCTGTGAAGTCATTATGCTTGCATGCAAGTTTGGAAAGAGTACTTTTTAAAAGTTTTTCTGTCTTTTTCTGACACAGAAAACAAGTTTCTTTTCCTTACCTAACAGCACTGCTGCCTGCATCGAGGTCTTGTGCAGTGACGGCGCCAATGATGGTCCCCACGGGCGTGTCCTCGTAAACCTCCATGGTGTACAGTGGCCTGCTGAACACCGGCGGCTCCTCCACGTCCAGCACGCTGATCTTCACCGTGGCGGTGTCTTTGAAGGGGCCCACGGAGTGGAACCGGTGGTCGAGGTGAAGGTTGGAGGCTTCCACTTTGAAAGTATATGCCTTCTTCGTCTCAAAATCTAGTGGCTGTAGTGAGGACAAACCGAGAGAGTGAGCAGGTACATGCATAATTGAAGGCGCAAGGACAGTAAACACCGCTTTGCATCGTTTGCAAGTGAATACAAATGGTATTGGTTTTAGATGTTTTAAGAAAAGAATCACTCACTAGTAGAAGATCGTGGGTATCTTGCCAACATAATCAGATGCATACATTCAAATGACGTATATGTGCACATACGCACAAGGTAGGGTTTGTTCATTTTACATGGGCCATTAAAACAGCATAAGGACTTGAAGGAAAACATTTTCTGCTCTTATACAATACTGACATCTAGTGGCATTTAGCAGTAATGAAAACATAATAATTGAAACGGGGTAACTGAGGATACTCTTATATTCCATTTAAAGTTTTGATATTATAAAATCTCTTTTTTTTCTTAACCACTTTTCTTATTTTGACAATAATATAATTTTCTATTAAACATTTTTAAATGTCTATATATTTTTGATAAAAAAAGCTCTATCAGGATCTTTAAAACATGCAGTGTTCATTATGAAAAGAGTTTTAGTCTATTATTTTCTCAGCATTGGCTATAAAATTATTAGGTATTGTTGGGATATTTTACCAAACATTAGGTTTTGAATATATATAATCAAATTTTAAAAAACTGTGAAATATAATATTTGGAAGTCATTTGTCCATAAAGTCACTGATTTTTCTATTTTAATTTTACAAATGCTTATATTGACTTTATTCTAAATACAAATGTTATGCTCCTAATAACTAAACATATTCTATTCTAGAAATATGGTGTTGCTGTGGTGTTTTCATATAAATGGAAACTTGAAGGTCAATGGCTGAGACTTCTAACCACCTATGGAAAATGAAGACAACATAAAATTAACATCAGCATAGAGGTTTCCTGAGGCTTTTAAAACTTCTGTTTTCTAAATGAATTCCCTCTAGTCGGAGCCCTACACCTTGCTAGACTTGCTAATTGCTGTGTTGACGCATCTTTTTTGTTTTACCTCAACACACCTGAGGGAAATACAGGATGTATTTTTCTGTCTTTCAAGGACTAGATTGTTGTTTTATGTGTTTTCTTTGAATATAAAAAAGAAGATTTAAAAATTACTGTAAAATCTTCAAAAACGATTACAGTTCCATGGAGTTTATTATAGCAAATAGTAATACCTTTTGGATTTGACATTAAGTGGTTTTTCACAGTAATTTTCATTCACAGGGATCTGTTTATTTTCCCTGTGACTATTCAGTTCATTTCATCTCATTCATCCAGTTTTTATTCATGTTTTAATGTGCTTTAAATGTAATGCTTTCTTTTACTCCTTACACTTTTTAGTTGCTCACCTCACAGTTATTTATGTATAATATTGATTTTCTTCCACTTCCACCTCTCTCCTGTTAGGGATTTTGATTCATCTCTAAGGCCAAGTGAAAAATGGCACGTCAGCCGCCATAGTTGATGTTATAACTATTGGTTACTGGGATACAAATATGGTATCTCGAACAAGAGAGTTGACAATCTTATGATGCTTTTGGTTTGATTGACCCACACCTTGTTTTGTTAAACATATTAAACTCATGAAAACACATCTGATTTTCAAAATAAGATAAAAAACATTATTTAACTGGAATACATATCATACACCTGGAAATGCTTAGCCCAGAATGAAGATCAAAGCAAGACAAGACATACATTTTCACACATTGAAAGATGATCATAAAAATCAGGTAGGCTTATTCCTTTAATCTCCTATAGAATGAATAATTTAAATTATTAAAATGGTAAACTGCAGGTTTAAAAAAGTAGGAAATCTTTAAATATCAAATCATTCAAACCTGAATGTATTTAGTAAAACATTGATGGTCTATGTGGTGGTGAGGCTCGGATGCCTTCTGAGGACAGAAAGATGTGATGACTACGAAGGTTAGTTCTCTTTCTAGTCAACCAACTCAGACTAGTGAGAAACATGTCGTCTCATTTAGAGAATCAGTTGTTTGAAGAAGTCCTACGTTCCCTATCATTTGTAGAGTTCAAGGGAAATCTGATGCTGTCAGAGACATACGAAAGTATACAATAGAGGGGATGCAGTAGCTAATCCAAATTAAAGAACATAGAAAATATGCTTTCTGGTTTTTGCAAACACTATGCACTGAGAATGTTAAAGGACACAATTTTTCTATTACAGCGATCCCTAAACCCTAGTGTCCAAGAGCACTTTGACTTTAACACCTTCAGTCCTTTTGATAGAAAGCTTTTGAGTTGCTTTAACTCATATTCTCTGTTGTGTCTCAGGGTGAACTTTTATTCTAGAATGTAGGAGTTAATACCAATTATTCCTCACTTCCCTTTATACTTTCTCCTAGAGATTAAACTGTCTCCTCTTTGATTAAAATTCCACAGCTATGTGATGGACTTGATTCTCTAAAATCCATTTCAAGGCTAGAAATGAAGGCATCATTCTGAAACCTTTTCTACATTTTTAAGAAAATCATACAGAGCCTATGCCTTTTAAGAACTCCTTAGCTAGCCCAGCAGGCAAGCATTCCGCTGTCGGGAGATGTAGAGCGAGATGAAAGAACCTTTCTGTACATACATATTTTTTTGTAGCTGAAAACCGACGTCCTGCAGTGATCAAAGAACTGGGGAAACGATAGGAGGAGCGCCACAGTCATATCCAAATGGCCACACATCTTCGTGACCCTGTCCCTCAGGCAATGCCACCTTTATAGCTGAGTCATTCAAAAAGAACAAAGGTAAATAACACTGATGTCTGTCTCGCTGAGTGTATCCAACTCATGTGACTGACTACCTTCCACTTGAATGAAATTCATCTACTTCACGATCAACGAAAACTCTAAAATTTGAAATAAATGCAGAACAAACAGGATTTAAAAAACATTCTATTGAAGCATTATGCTGAGTGAAATAGGCCAGGTGTTGAAAGACAAATACCATATGATCTCACCTTTAACAGGAAGCTAAACAACAAAACAAACAAGCAAGCAGAGAAAAAAAACAAAGACACTGAAATAGAGAACAAGGGGACAGTGACCAGAGGGGAGAGGGAAGGGAATTTAAGGGGGAAAAAGGGGAGGGATTTGGAGGAACAAATATGAAGGACACAGGGACGAGAACTAAGGGGGGTGGAAATGGGAGGGAGGTGGGGAGCATGGGGCGGGGGAGGCTGGGGTGGGAGAAATAGACAAAAAAACTGTACTTGAAAAATAACTAAATAAAATTAATAAAAAAAGGAATTTATTATTATAAAGGTGAATGAATTTAGCTCTTGCATGAGAAAAGAAACCTTTGTGGCATTGCTTGGGACCCATCCAATTTAAACACCTTTCTAGAAAAATAAGAAAATGATCAAGTAAATGGAATTCAGCTGAGTAACTCCTTGCTCCTGAGGGTGTTTCAATAAAGGATAATTGGTGAGAACAGACTTTTCAGAAAACTTTTGACATTGTACACAGTTGCAAGGTAAGAAAACAGAATACGGAGGAATGCAATTCAATATATTCAATTATTTATCATAATATAAAGGGGGGTTGAGGAAAAAATTGCTTTTTAGCATCTTTGTTTTTAGCCACTTTCTTTGCTCTTTATTGAGGTCCAGGTCACAAAAAAACTACATAAAATATTATGTGCCAAATGATCTTCTCACCTTCCAGAAGGATAAGTAATTTATGGCATGTGAGAAACAATACTAGCTGAGCTGTTTTAAATAGAACTAGAGCTGCTATTCCAAAGGGACTGCATTGTTTGTCTTATTCCTCAAACCTTTGGGAAGTAAAACTTACAAAATAACCTTGGGTCTGGTCCTCAGGCAGCACTGTGTTCTAATCAAATGTATACTAAGCTAACAGAAAAGCAGATATTATGACTACCAGTCCAATATTAAAAACATTCTTTAGAATTAGCTTTACTATGGTAGCTTATCCATGCCTATAGAAATTCCTCCCTTAGTTTTTTTTTTTTTAATATTTGTGGAAATGCCTTCCTTCTATTTAAGTATTTTCCTTTCCCTTTTTATAAATACTTCTTGCCTTCCCCTCCTAATTGAAATACTATTTGAGTTTCTGCCTAAACCAGTGTTACTGGATAGCTATTTTTAAAACTATTTTACTTACTTACTGTTAGAGAGAGGTGAAGGGAGGGTGAAAGAGAGGGAGAGAAGAATCAATGTGCAAGAGAGAAACATCAATTGGTTGCCTCTGGTGTAACCAGCCAAGGACCAGACCTGCAGCCAGGTCACCTCCCCTGACAAGGAGTTGAACGAGTGACCTTTCAGTTTGCAGGCTGGCGCCCAGTCCACTGAGCCGCACCAGCCAGGACATGCACAGTTATTTTTTTGGACCTCAGATAAATGTTTGCTGTCTCTCACTTCGGCCATTTATTTTTAGGTTAACATATCAAATGCAAGAAAATATCTTTCTGAGCTTTTCCAGGACTCATCATACTTTTAGACAGACAATGTGGAGTAAAATGCACAGCTAGGTTATATGTTAAGAAATTATATAAACCGCAGCGTTGGTAGACAGAATTCCAAGATATTCCCAACATTCCTGCCCTCGTCTAATAGTTACCAATAGCATTTACCTGGGAAAGGGGAATAAAAGTGAACCAGACATTGAGCTTAATAAACTAGGGAACAGAAGCTGTTTGCTACAGTTGTTCACACTCCAGGGGACCCCAGTATTACTCCCCAAAGGGGATTAACACTTTTGCATTCTACCCTTCAGTACCAGGTTGCTCCGGAGTAAAAAGGGGAGGGTCTGGGCCATAGAGGCCTCTCAGTTCTCTAACTAGGGGCTATGAAACCGTCCAAAGCCCTTGAAAACCTGAGAAATTGATTGGTCATTTTGAAGAAGCACCTGGTTTGTCCTAAAACCAACCTAATACAGAACCATCCCAGGGAAACAAAGAAGTGCTCTCTCTCTCTCTCTCTCTCTCTCTCTCTCTCTCTCTTTTGCTTGTGACCTGCACTCCCACCAAGCACTT